GTTTCATCCGGCGTTGAAGTGGAGGGCAGATACTGTACTCTGCTGCCGGGCGAAGCCTCATAACTCACGCCGACTGTTTGCTCTGAGAAAATTGTTGGAGGACCACGTAGTGGAGAGATAAGGGCATTACCCACAACCTTTATTCACATTTTAAGCATGGCTCAGGCTCTGTGTGCGTGTATGTGTGTGTGTGTGTGTGTGTGTGTGTGTGTGTGTGTGTGGTTCAATTTTACAGCTGAAATGTTTTTATCCTCCTGATTTGATAGAGACTGTCTAATGTGCCAGGGGAACATCTAATTTTGCCAAAATGTCAAGAAATATCAAGATGTCTTAATCTGGCTTTGTGGCTGAAATTACTCGCCCTCTCCTTCTGTCTTTCCTTCCTCCTCTCTCTCTCTCTCTCTGTGTGTGTGTGTGTGTGTGTGTGTGTGAGTGAGAGAGTCTTATCTCTCTGACAGAGTCTAAATGCCACATTTCTCGTTCCCATTTTGAGAATTAACTCAGCATCCATTTTGTAATGGAAGCAGAGCTCTGTGTCCTCCTTCCACTTTTTTTTTTTTTTTTGTGCTGCCCACAATGCAGTGCTCCCCGCTCGTCCAGGTGCACTGATACAGTATGTCAGCGCCCAGCGTGCGTTCTGGTTGCTCCCCCCCCCCATCAAGCTGTACAGTGAGTCGTTTTCCTCCCATGTAAGAGGCCGTATTAAAACGTAATGTGATGGTGTATTTATGGCATGTTGGTTAATATTTAATAAGAAACCCTCTCGTTAGGAGACTGGGCACTTTTCCAAGCTGTTAGTGACGGCAAGCCAAATTAATCCGCTTTGTAACAAAGCAAATTCCCCCTTTGCTGACCGCGACAGACACACACAACAAAACGTGCACACATACACACACACACACTCTGCTTACTGGGACGGCAGCAGACCTTAGTCTAATCAGTCTGTATTCAGAGGGATTAGTAGCAGATAGCCCTAGCTGGACAGTTCAGATTGTAGCCCCAAACAGTGACTCAGACACACATATACACAACAAGCGGATTTAGGTTTCAAAATACATGCAAACGCAGGATCTAGGCCCTACTGCAAAAAACATATGGGGCAATGAAAACACAATTTGGCTTAAGGCTTACACTCGGCCTAAATAGCTGTGCTGAACAGCCAGCGCTGCTGTTAACTCGGCTCCCCTTTGCTCTCTGACAAAAGGTGATTTTCTCACGGAGAATTCCAGCCATTAAAAAGCCTCACAAATAATTACTCCACATGAAAGCGAGCCTGTCAAAGTAGTTTTCGGTTGTACCTGCAGCCAGCCTTTCATGGAGGACAATAGGTTTAGTAAATGGGGTGAGACTGAGGGCCCGGGACAGGGGCAGAGCTGGGTAATCCAATACTATTGAGTTTGTGGTTTGGTTAATCTAATGGCGGGGCTAAAGGGAGCACGGGCAGTGTGTTGGCAAGGGCTTTGAAGACTGCACCCACCTCTCAACCCCTTCAAACACACACACACACACACACACACACACGCTCTCACTTTGTCATATTAATTTCACCCACCCATTCCACGGGAACTTTTTTTTTTTTTTTTTACAGATGCATGTTGGTGCGCGTAAACGCCTGCAGCTCACACACAAACAGCCAGTGACCTTTGATGCTTTGTATCTGATTGTAGATATGTGTGAGGTCATAGCCAGGGGCTATCTGTCTGGAGACCCAAACACTGAAGACGGATTCAGCGCTTTGTTTGCTGCTTGGCTCCAGGGCCTTTTTTTTTTTCCTTGGAATTTTAGCAGCAACCTTGGGGGAGTTTAAATTCTGCAACTAAAGTACATACTAAGTACATTCAATCAAGTATTTTACTTTTACACAGTTTTAAGGCACTTGAACTTTGCTCACGTATTTTCCTCGCACACCAATTTCTAGTTTTACTCTACTACATCTCAGAGGGAAATGTACTTTTAACTTTACTACAGTTATTTTACAGCTTCAGTTGTTGGTGACTTTACAGATTTGCACTCAAAATGTTACTGTTTTCATGTAAATGCTTTTCAGTTTCCCAGTGTGAAGATTAGCCTTTAAATAATTGCAATAATTGCAATGTATTAGTAATAATATTGAGGTTTAGACTGTCGGTTGGACAGCATTTCTCACTGTTTTGTTAATTCACAAAACACTGAGTTGATCAATCAGCAGTTTAATCCATAATGAAAACAGCTTCACCTCAACTAAGTAAAACAACACAATTCTGCTCTCATGTTTATGCATGCGTAATAAAAGTGTAATGATATAATAGTATAACAGTCACATAGGACATTTTAATACTTTAACAAGTAATGCAGGACTCCTATGTGTAACATTTTTCACATTGTTGTATTAATACTTCAACTCAAGTGAAGGATCTAAATACCACTAATGGTATTCATTGAAATCATTTTTCTGTAGGTCTGTAAATCCTGGTCCCTGCTCTCTCTCTTGCTCTCTGAAGTTTCTTCCTTTTTTCCCCATTTAAGGGTTTTTTGGGGAGTTTTTCCTGATCTAAACAGAGGGTCTAAGGGTTAATTGTGTCACACTCTCCAGATACAAAGCAAATTTGTCCTTTGCAATTTTGGGTGCTATAAAGACAATCGTCTTTACTTGACTGTGTGTGCGTGCCCCAGGTTGATAAAGTATTTCTGGTTGTTGACTTCATTAGCATCACAAACTGGGATTCTTTGAGTTGTTTGAAATTGAATCACTTCTCAAAAACCCAAAAATATTTTTGCAAAGTGCACTGAAAAATTTCACCAAGAAACAAAAAGGAATGACAAGCCCTTACACTCCTCTGCCCCTTTCCTCAACAAAGACTTCACAATGTGTGCCTGAGCACGTCTGTTAACAGTCGAACCTTGAAACAGTTTGAGGAGGAAAAAAAGGTTTTTCAACAGTTTCAAGGCAACAAATCTTCTTCCTAACCAGTCACGTAGTCCATTATTCAACAACAAATGTCTGTTTCTTAAACAAGTGTAACAAATTTGCCTGTTTTTAATGCTAATTAATTAATTGTCTTGATTCTATTGCAACAGGCTTTGCACTGTTCTGTTTCAAGACACTTTCCCGAACATTCCATAAACAAGTCGAGGCTCTCACTCACCGGCTGAAGGATTCCTGCTTTGGATTAAATTAGGTCTTGAATGCTGAATGAGTCTAAATGACTTGTTGAGAAAGATTTTTTTCCCCAGCAGTGAAGCCGTTCTAAACCCCTTTGCTTCCGATGCATTTACTAAAATGTAATGCTACTCATGTAAAATTTATGCTTTTAGCGCTTTGAAAAGTTTAAAACAACTAAAAAAGAGCTCCGCTGTAGCTCAGCCTGACGTGTGAGAATAGACGGTGCATACCAAATGACTGTCACACTGCTGTAATACCAGTGTTGCATAACAATAAATGTGTTTCGGGGGGTTTGCTGAGTGAAACAGAGGGTTGCTAATAATATAAACTGATCATGTTTTGTATTTAACATGTGAGCCTGCAAAGTGAAGCTGTTAGATAAATGCAGTTCAGTGGATTACAAGTTTAAAGTGGCAATAATATGGAAATAATCAAATAAAAAAGGATCTATAGTCCCAACCAATGGCCAAAACATGTCCTAAGCTATATTTTATTGTTTTCATTGCCCCTCCCCCATTCTCCTCTGTTCATACATATAAAACTAAGCAAGTTGTAACTGTAACTGTGAGATAAAGCAGGATTTATACTTTATACTATGTCGCATAGGCTCTGTGTTAACATGCACCTACCCAGAAATGTAATTACATGTCTTGGCAAAGCAGACTCCTGTCTTTTTGGCAATGTGGGTAGGCTACAGCATAGGCTCTGCATAGAGCTGACGCACAAGTATTAGTGGAGTCTATCATATAGTGCGAATTGTCTGAGCTCCCTGTAGGGAAATGGCCACAACAGAGCTTTGACTATATTTAACTGTCACTCCCCATTCTCTTATGCTCTTACTGTACGTAAGGAAATAAGTAATTAGTAACTGTAGCTGTGAGATAAATGTAGTACGTAGAGTGGATTACAAGTTTAAAGTAGCATCAAATGAAATAAACAAATTAAGAAAAGTATCATACAGTGCTAATTATCTGAGGTGGCCACAACACAACTTTGGCTATATTTAATTGTTTTAATTGTCACCCCCCATTCTCCTCTAAGTAAGCCAGTGAGTCAGTAATTAGTAGCTGTGAGATAAATGTAGTAGAATAGAGTGCACTACAAGTTTAAAGTAGCATCAGATGAAAATAATCAGATAAAGAACAGTTATCATATAGAGCCAATTGTTTGAATCAACTAAACGGGAGTGGCCACGACGCAGCTTTGGCTATATTTAATTGCTTTGATGGTCACTCCCCATTCTCCTCTGTGCTTAAATTAGTCAGTAATTAGTAACTGTAGCTGTGAGATAAATGCAGTGTAGTAAAAAGCGCTGTAGTTCCCTCTGAAATGTAGTGATGTCGAAGTATTAAATAGCATCAAATGAAAATATTCAAGTTAAGTTCATGTACCTCAAAATTAAGCAGATACTGTATATTGTTTTTTTTTTTTTGTTTTTTTTTTATTACAAGGATTTATGCTTTTACAAAGTAGAACCAGCAGTCCCATGAGTCGCTTTCTTCCACAGCCTTTTACTGTAAGTGTGTCTCTGTGTGTGTGTATATGTTTGTGTGTGTTAGCTGAGGGGTTTCTCTATCCATTGTGCAGGCGGCTTTGATCTTAACTATGGTGAAACAGAAAGCCCTGACGTGATGAATCAAAGAGCAGGTTGCATAAATACATATTGTTAAAGTCTTGCAGAAATACGTCAGATCCTGCTCTGTGTGTGTGTGTGTGTGTGTGTGTGTGTGTGTGTGCGCAGGTATCATGTTTCCTGATTGTCTTGCTTGTTCAAGAAATGCTAAAGACTTAAACACCTCTCTTGTGTTTTTCTCCTCCCTCCCTCCCCTCTCTTTCCTTCTCCCCCCCTCCTCTCCAGGCGCCGATCTTTTCTCTAACTGCACGGAGGAGTGTAAGGCCCTGGGCCACTCCGATCGCTGCTGGATGCCCAGCTTCGTGCCCTCTGATGGGCGCCAGGGCCCAGACTACCGCAGCAACCTCCACGTGCCCGGCATGGACTCAGTCCCGGACACAGAGGTATTTGAAAGCCCTGAGCAAACGGCCGATAAGTCATTCTCCACCTTTGGCAAAGAGACGCCTCTCAGTCACCTCCACCACCACCAAAACCACCACCACCTTCTCAAAAACCATCACCTCAGCCACCAGCAGGGCTCCCTAGAGAGGAAAGAGTTGGAAGCATTTCTGCCTAGCTCCAGAGCACCTTATAACCCAGCTTATTTAAGTGAGTATTGTGTTTTGCTCCGGCCTAAGTGCCCGCCCCGCTCTCTGATCTGGTGATCGAATTAGGTGAAAAAGAAAAAGATTCCAAATTCAATTTTCTCCCTGGATTGGCTGGCGGAAGGAAGCGTGAAATTCATTTCAGGTCTGACCCCTGTTCTCCCAGCCCTCCTGTCAGAGTGTTTAACTAACTCTTCCCTCTTTCTCAGGCATCTCCATTATCTCCCGACTGTGATGATCTTATCTGCCCTCACCTACCGTTTCAATTCATTCCTACACACACCCAAACACACACACACACACACACACACACACACTTAGAAACCTCCAGCACTGATTGGCCTGCGGGCCTTTCCAAATTAAACATGCCAAAAGCAATTATGATCTATAAGGTTGCTTTGATGTGGGTGGAGATGTTAGCATTAAGGAAGTTCTGTCTCATTATGGAAAAGTGGCTGCAGGAATATAAGCGGCACTGGCCCCCTCTCACGAAGCCCCGCAATGAAAAAATGGCTGTTTTCAATCAGTGAAGAAGAAAAACAGCAGGCAGTGAGCTTAACATCTCTTCTCAGACGTCAATGCGTTGTGAGCCGCGGATCAAAAAACAGTTTTAGATATTTGAGGAGGACAAAAAAAAGGAAGGAAAATTCCTCTCCCAAGGAATTACTGTTTCTAAACTCTCATTCAAAGGCCACAAAGAGATACATCCTCAATCACTGCAATTTGGTGATAATGCTTAATTATAATTTTGTCAAGCAGCGCCTGAAGAGGCCCCCTCTCTCATCATCCGACACAGCTAGCTGGAATTATCAAACTGTCAGAGCACCGCTGCTTCCCCAGCGCCATCATTTAAAACCACAGTGTGCTGTTAGGAACAGCAGGAAAAATGTTTTTTTCCCCCTTTAATTAATGTTTTATTCATTTGCTATGCTTTTTATTTTTTGTTTAATCCTGGATCAAAAAGTTATGTCGAGCAGGCTACCAATTACTCTCATTAGAACTGCTCTTTACAAAAGGCAGTCTTGTAACTCACTGTGTGAACTTTCCATGCAGGTTATTGTTAGATTGTGTTGATAACAACGAAGAATTACAGTGATAATGTATTTTAGAAGTATAGGATACATATAGAATAAAGAACAAGTGATTAAAACTGTATATATATATATATATATATATATATATATAAAAATAACAGTGTTGAGGACTGAATGCGATGCTGCTGAATAAGAATCATGAAAGTATCGTCGAAATGAACATAAAATTAACAGAATATATTGAATAAACTAATGGTATAAAAAATACAGTAATAATACATTTTGACAATGAAATGAACTACATTCCAAGCAGGTTATAATAACATTATATTGATTGTTGTGAGGATTGAGGTTATTACAGCAATAATCTAATAGTGCACTCTGTCTCGAGGAAATAGAAAATAAGGAATCAGTGATTATAACTGTTAAATACAAAAATCAACCAAGTATAACAGTTGTCGTTATGGATGTTCTCAGAAAGCCTGTTTCCACCAAGTAGTCCAGTACAGTTCAGTTTAGATTAGGATGCATTTTTTCCATTTCCACTTGTGGATGGTACCAATAGAACTGTTCCTAACCATACCTATTTTTGGTCACCCCTCTGTTGGGGTACCTAGCACACACATCCGGTACTAAAGGGTGGAGCTAGAAACATGTTGAGACTCATATAACCACTGTTCATATTGTGGCAAGTCTTACATACATTAGTAAACAATAACTATAAAATGAAATGATGTTTCGCTGCCTGTCACAGCAGCTGTAACTACATGGAAATGTAGTACATGAAATCCGAACTAGTCCGTGCCTGTGCTAGGATTTGTCTAAACGCAGCTAGAGCCGAGTGAGTGACTGCTGGTGCTGCTGGATCACCAACATCAACTGTCATGTTTCTCCCAGAGAAAGGGAAATTGCAGTTGCAAAAAAGAAAAGAAAAAAGACAGGAAACAGAAAGATGGCAAACAGTTAAAAAAAATCAAAAGGAATGTGAGAGAGAGATGGATCAAGAGAAGAAGGGTGGGAGGTCCACAGAGACTGCTTATCCATGGGGCCCAAAATTTGGTGCGATGCCCCCTAGGGATATGTATGAATTTTGGTGAAGTACTTCTTGTGGCAAAATGTATGCACAGTGCATGAGAACAGAATGAACACAATGGGTACAGCCATCATCAACTATGCAACTCTCTTGCCTTGAAACACCACACACCATAAACGACAGCAAAATGCAAAGTAAGACTTTTTATTTGTTGTTTACCGAAAGTAAGGCCAGCACGTTTAATTTCAGCTTAGTGTGACAGTCTCTTGCATTTTGCTCTTGTCTATGGTCATGATGGTTCACCGCTCTGCTCGGAGGAGGACAGGCAGCGCTGGAGACGGCAATAAGAGTCATTTGTTAATGTAATCACAGCAAAAGATGTACGGATGAAAAATAAACAGTCTACAGAATACACTTGATTCAGGTAACTCAGATACAGGCTACACTGAAGCAACAGACACTGGAGAATTTTCTCTTAGAGGGAGAGAAATATCCTCGAGACAGCGACAAGGCCAAAAAGATCAGGTTTTGTCATTTTATACTTTATTTTATATATAAAAAGGAACACCTTAGATGCAGGGATTTTTTCATAATTGACTGCAGAGCTATTCAGTTGTCAAGCATGTACACTGGATTGATTTTAATAAGTTAAAAGGTCTGGAGCACTCAATATTGAATGACTCAGACCTGGATTGGGGGCAAGAAACCTTTTTTGGAACATCCCTAGTTGCAGTAATATAAAGCAAGACAAAGTACAACACCACATATCAGCATAAGAAGAGAAACATGTCAAATGCCCTAACCCTAATGACATAATTATGAAAACATATACACATTACTGTCAAGGATTTATTTATTTAAATGGCAAGCAAACCTAATCTTAAAATACTTAAGCACCAACAAAACAGGATATTTACATGCAGCACAAACCATTCAGGCTTTAATATTACTGTTTGATATTCCAGTAATAGACATGCTGTTAAAAACTTCTCCTGCAACCAAACATCAAGCAACAACCATTAAACAAGTTTCAAATGATTCTCATTTCTGTGTTTTCTCCCCTCATGCTTTTCAGCCTTCAATTTGATGCACATTGTGTTTGCTGTGTGCCGCTCGGCTTCTAATAGTTACCATGGATGTGCTTATTATGCGCTTATGATGCAGCACTCCAAGTGAAGGGCTCCCAATATCGCTGCGTTTCCCACGAACACCGCCACTCACTCCTCTCTCAAAGTAGATCACTGTGGCCATTATGCTAATGAGTGCGGGGGTGGTGACGGGGGGGTGGATAATAGCAAAGAGGGAACAACAGTCAGAGAGATGGAGAGGGGAGGAGAGGGGAAAGGAGGGGAGTGGAGGAAGGGATAGAATGATGATGCCAAGAGGCTGAAGCTCCCTAATCTGATCAAGTCAGCCAGTGATACACAGAGACGCTTTTGTCCCAGAGGTGCAGGCCTGGGCCTGGGCCTGGGCCTAGGGTCGGGTCAGGGTGGGGTGCAGATTGGAGGAGAGAGACGGGGGATGATAGCCAGAGCTCAGTGATTACCATCATCAGACAACATGGATGCGGGGGGGGGGGGGGCAGAGAAGAGTAGGGGTCATGAATGAGACATCGCCTGTTAAAGCTGAGCCTCCTTCTTTTGTTGTTGTCCTAAAAAAATTGGCCATGCAATATTCACCAGCTCACCCCCCCCCCTCCAATGTCACTATTCCCATAACAGCCCCCCTCCAACCCTACCCCACTTCACATACATAGTCACACACACATTATCCATGAGCCATTTCACAAGGGTGAATTGGAACGGCCCAGCTGAGGGATGTGACACTTCCTACCCCCTTGTTGTGCATGTGTGAACCCTCAAATTCTGTGTGAATGAGGCCATTTAAATGCTGTTTTTCTTTCTTTTTTGTTTTCTGTCATCCCTCTCAGACAAACTTGACCCCCCCCCCCCACCACACACACACACACACACACAAACACACACAGCTAACCAGACTTTGTGTTTTTCTCTGCTTCTTGCAGCGAGGAAAAGGGTTTGCTAGCTCCTTTCGCGTGGACATACCAGAGACCGCGTGACTTTGCACAATCACTCCCCGACGTCTGAGGCTATAAAAAAAAGCATCAAGTTTTCAACCCATTTTTGCCCTCATCCCTCCTCACCCAGCGAAAATCTGAAAATAAAAACACACTCGACTACACACTAAATGAGGAACGACCCCCTTTCTGGAATTCCTTGGAGCACTGCCGGGCTTTGGAGGCAACCCACTCTGGGGATTAGGAGACAGTCGAACACGGGGGAGGGGAGGGGGGTGGGGGGGTGGGGTTGGGAAGGATGGGTGTGGGCAGGTAGATGGATAGCCTTACCGGGAGGAGCCCATTGTCTCAGCAGGACTGAGAAACTAACAGAGGAGGAGGAAGGACAGCGGCGACGGAGAGATGAAAGTGGACACTGATCTCTCCGTTCTTTTTCCAATCTGCGTGTGCCTGTTTACAGCACTGATGTATACATCTCTGAGGAAAAACAAAACAAGACGAAGACTACATATGTGTACGGATATCGAAAACGAGAGCCACCCCGATAAAACCGCCACTGAGCCCTTTAGGCGTTTGTACTCGCAGAGAGACGCCAAATTGTACAGGAGAATCTTTGTGCATTTCAAAATGCAATACCACTGTTTTAGATTTTTCTATTCTGTTCGTGTGGTCAGGTGTCTCTATTCCGATCTACTTCAAACTTTGTAAGAAAAGATTGTGGGCAGGATATTTTTTTATTTATGTTTTATTTTTTATTCTGGGTTCTTTTCATGTTTTGTTCTTTTCAGCTTTGGGTTTGGTTGGTTCATCACATTGTAGGCTTGGACAATGTTTGACCTACACTTTTCTGATTCTGAGACGTCAAGTAGTTTCTATCATGTGTGAGAAGTGTTTACTGTAATCTTTTAAAGTTTCAAGCTGAATATAAAACTCTATATATAAATCTATCTATATCTACTTGTTCTGAAGGCGTGCTATCCGTTTGCTGGGTTCCACATTCTGATTCAGAGGTCCGACTCTTGTTTAAGTGCCCCTGAAAAAGGCTTTTTTTGTTTTGTTTTTCCCCACAGTGGGAGACATAAAGAGAGACAGAACAGCCTTAGCAGATGTAAAACTCAAGTTCTCATTGTTTGACATTATTTCATTCTTTTTTTTTTTGTTTTCTTCCACTTTTGGATATTGATAAAGATCATGTCTATAAATAAAAAGGAGGTAATAATTTAGATTGAAATCCATGGTAATTCTGTGTCATTGTAACCAAAACTTTAAGGGTCCATTTATAAAGAAACAGAACATGGCCAAAAGCAAGAGGTGTTGTACACAATGCAGTGGAATCGAGTATACACACATTTCTTTCTCACACATTTACAAACACAAACACACCAATATGCCAACAATAAACTGAAAAATGGTGAAAAGGAAGGTCTTATGTGCTTTTATTTTGATGTTTAACCTGGTCAAGAAAGAGTAAGACTGGAGGTGGCCTGATTTAAAGAATTCTGCTGGGTCTCAATTCGCATACTTCTGTTAGTACACGCCCATGTAGTGCACTGTGTACACAGTGTACTTAGTAGCATGGTGCATAAATTGCAACAGGGTAGTGTTGACGCAAATCTAACACGGCTGCTGTGCACCTACCGGAAATGACAATCACAACATTTGACCACTTCTTCTAGTTCTCCTTTTAAATGGCAAATTGCAACTGTCGTTCACCAAAATATCTGCCAGCTTGTCTGCTTGTTCATCAAAGCAATCACAACCACTGCAGCTTCCTTGGCAACCATTTTCAAAGGTTTGGTGGACCTTCCCCTTCATCTACGTAGCCAAGATGGTGACCATTTAGGGTGTCCAATGTTCCACAATCAGCTTTTGGATAATTATGATTACTAGAGGCTGACCATTTTTCGGGATTCTTGTGGGATTCCTGTTGGACTCCCACGGGATGAGTCAATTTCACCTTTCATAACATGACTGGCACTGGACAGGAAACAAAGTTAATGGGACTGGGCGGGCCAGGAATCATAGTAACAGTACTGAGCCAACAATGTGAAATCAGTCAGCAGCTCCAATGTGAATAACATGTAAGGTCAATGTAAAGACGCGATCAGACGTGAATTCGACACTGGGGGGTGCGATGGATGCAAAGCTAAATTTGTGAATTAAGCTGTGCAAATGAAGTGAGTAGCCTGATTTCACGCCATATGCTAATTTGTGAGGGTTGGAAAATGTGAGCAGTGACCGATTCGTGATGCGACAGCCAATCAGCAATCAGCATCGCCAAGGACTTTTGTTCATTAGTTTCCACAGAGCATACATGCAGCATATGGCATATATTAAGCCTGTGAAGTAAAATGGATTGTTTGTTAAGGTAATATTATCGCGATCAAGGTGCTAATTTCTGTTAGCGTGTTAATGGTTATTTCCATTGTGTGTTACCATCAGGCTAACAGACTAGTTATCTACAATTTTTTTGCAGCAGTTATGCTAGCTATGAGGTTGTTTACTCAGTATGCTTGACTTTCTATATATAAATGTGGCGTTTTACTATGATTAAATGCCATTTTATTTATTATTCAAAAACACAACAGGGGTAGGACACAAGTTATTTTTCCAGGATTGTGGGAGTGGGTGTAAAAGGAGTGAAAATCTATTTCTGTTTCATCCTCTAATGAGTACACCGGGCACTCATAGTGCACTGCATTTTGCCATAGGCCTACTTGTCAGTGTGAACGCACTTATGCACTCAGAATAGCAAGTGTAAGTGCGGAAGAATGCAAATTGAGACACAGTTTCCACAGTCATGGCTTTATACCCCAGAGCAAACTGGGAAACTACCCTGGGGCCCCAGTCCTCCAGGACCCAAACGCGTCTGCTACACTGTGTGACAATTGTTCTTTAGTCATTTGATTAACCGCCAAGTGGTCAGGGAAGTTGCATGATTTAATATCGATCAAGACAGGTCCAGCTTTACAACCTAATGTGTGTGTGTGTAAAGCTGTGTTTAATCAAATGACCACAAACTAACACACAAAGACGGCAGCATGATTCATTTATAGGAGTACTGGTTGTTTTCTGGGTCTCTGGGCAAAACTTGAAGAAGTTGAATTCCACTGTGTGCACTGTGCTCAACAGGAATATAAAGCTACATCTGGTTTGGTTTATGAAAATTACTTTGTGTCATATATGCTGAAACTGTCACTATATATGGACAGTATTACATGAGACAGATAGATAAAAAAATAAGTCCCACCTCCACCGTGTAATGTCTCAAATGGCACTCATTAGAATCTACAGAGGCTGTTGGAAAACAACCAATCAGAGCTGAGGAGTCTCTAACGCAGCTGTCAATCACTGCTCGTGAACTGTGGTCAAACTGTAAAACTGGGCAGCGCTGATCAAATATGATCAAGATTATGTTACTGCATTGCCTATTCAGGCCTCAGATGTTTAAGGAAACATATTTAAGTGTACTGTTTTTTTAATACTCTTTACTTATCAAAATTTTAGTCCTTTTCAGCAGTTGGAAGAAAAAAGGAAGTGTCAGTCTTTACATAGCTACTGTACATCCCTCCCACCCCACGATCCCCACATCTCAAATAACAAAAACAAACAAAAAAAAACAAACAAAATTAATAATATAGTAGAAATGTCTGTAATATTAATAATATTGCATGCATACATGAATTCTTACATTGTTCTCCCTTCATTCCCCCCTACCTTATCACTTTTGTATTATACCTGTTTTTTACATTCTCTTCCATCTTGCATCAAATAGTTGCTTCTAATGCTGTGGTGTATCATCTCCATTTAGATCTTAGATCGTATTTATTGTATCCTTCCATTTGCTTTGTTGTGGCACCTCCGCTCTCAAAGTGTACTGTTAAGCTGTAAAATGAGAAAGTTTTTCACGGGCGGTGTGCTGAGCTTCGTTTTAGCTCGCTGTTTTCAACATAGGCCTCAAACTTCCTCAAGCAGTACACTAAAATATGTTTTTGAAAACATTTGAGGGGAGAGAAAAGCGCTGCCTATTTTGACAGCTTGACTGCAGTTCATAAGCAGAGACTGACATAATGGACAGCTGTGTTAGAGACTTCTCAGCTCTGATTGGTTGTTTTCTGTAAGTTGTGGTGGATTCTAGAAAATACCATTAGAAGGGCTTTTAGAAGGGCAGAGGACCACTTTTTTCCACAGATTATCTGTCCCATGTGCTACTATGTAGATCTAGTGACAGTTTCAGCAAATATGGCAAAAGTTGTTCTTATATTATACTCTTTGCACATGACCAAATGAAGAGATTTGAAACATATGGTCATGTTGTGGACTATCTTTAGGTTCAATACAATTTGCAGTTTTCAAAAATTGAATTCAGGCTGGTTGTGAGGACAGATTTCAAAAGTGCATCCATAAATAGTGGATATTGGATATAGATATTGAGCGCAAGTATTTACTTACTAGTTTCTGTGCAATACTTGCACTTCACTTGTTTATTTCCATTCTATCGTACTTTGTATTTTTTCTGCCATCTTAAATCCAGATTATACAAACAAAGCATATGAGCTTATAAAACATAATGCATTGTTAAAACAGTAGTAGTGGTGGAAGATGTACACAGACATATTCAAGTAAAAGTTCTGATTTCAATATGTGACAAAATCCAAAGTACATACGTGTTCTGAGAGGTGTGCGTTGCATGTAAGCAGCATTTTAAAGCTGTGGCTGCTCAAGGGCACTTAATTAATATTTACCATGCTTGGTTAGATTTGATTCATGTCTGAAAAGTCTCAGCACCTCAGCATAACGAGAAACAATCTTCTGATTTGAAAAATGTATTTTTTGAACCCATGAGGTCATGATTTTAATTCCTGTCACCAAGCTGGTGCAGTGTATTCTTGGTCACTCTGATTGAGTCTCGATATGAAAGTACAGTTTGGTAGATATGAGGCGACATATGTGCAAGACAAATCAGTTTTGGTGCTGGGTGAAGCGCTGGCTCTTTGGCAGATGATATCGCAGTGCTCTGCAACATTTACCACACCAGAGAGACAGACATATGGCACTTTTATTACAGGCCCAGACTTGTCGTTTGGGTTATACGGCGGAGGTTTTCAATGCTGTAAACCTTGTACAAATTGATATTTTATTTGGAGCCTTCCAGTCAAGCAGCAGGTTTAAGAGCTTTTTGGCTTTCTGTACAAGGTAGCAAAAATAAAAACACTTGATTCTCTCTATCAGTGCTACCACAGTGTATTGATTGAGCT